TCCCTTATCACCATTTTCATGTCCATGGGCTTTAGCGCATCTACTCTTTACTTCGAGATATTCATAATTTGTGTCTTTTTGTTTTTTCCAGTATCAATCTGGCTATGAGTTTTATTAATCTTTCCAAAGTACCAGTTCTTAGTTTCATCTATTTTTATATATTACCTGTCTTCTTCCTGTACTACTGATTTATACTATGTATTATGTCCTTCTTGCCTATACTTTATGTTTATTTTCTAGTCCTTACTAGTTACTTAAGGTGAGAGTTTGTATGACTATTTAATCCCATTCTTCTTTTCTAATATGGGCCACTTAAGCTACAAATTTCTTTCTAATCATGGCTTTGGTTGTATTCTACAAATTTTGTTAGGCTGTATTTTCATTTTTGTCCAGCTCAAAATATTTTCTAATTTTCTGTGGAGCTTTTTTGACTCAAGGATTATTTATCAATATATTAATTGTTAATTATTTAAGATTTTCCAGTTACCTTTCTGTTATCAATTTCTAATTCAATTCTCTTATTTTCAGAAAACATTTTTTGTATGATTCCATCTCCTTTAAGTTGATTAAGTCTTATTTCATGGCCCAGAATACAATCTATATTTGGGAAGAATCTGTGTATTCTAGGAAAGAAAATGCATCCTGCTGTTCCTAGGTAGGGTGTTTTACAAAATGACAATTGAATACAGTAGGCTGATGGTAACACTAAGTTCTTCTCTGTGGGGGGCAATAGAACGCTCCTGTTATATTTTCCCTTATTTGGTCAAGAAGTGCTGCAGCACCAATCCCCGCTTGCCTCAGCATCTTCCTGTGGTCCTGGACCTCCACTACCAATCCACAACTAGTCCCACCCAACTGCTTCCACTATACAGCTATTTAGACCCTGCTCACTTCCTCAATAAACGAGACTTGATCAGAAAGCCTGTCTTGTCTCTGTCTCTTGTGTCTCTTGCCCTGTCCTGTTTCTCCCCGTTCCTCCTCCAGGTCATTACCCCACGTCTCGACTCGTGGGCTGAGTCACTTCTCCACCAGTAGTTCTCATCTGAGGGCAGCTGTGTCCCACAGTGGACATTTGGTGGTGGCCAGAGACATTACTATTACAGTCTGTGGGCAGCTGCTGGCATCCAATGGGCAGAATCCCCTGGCTAACACCTTACAATACATGGGGCAGGTCTGCCACCTTCTCCTCACCACAAACAAAGATCTGGCCCCAAATGTCCCTGCTGACCTTGTCTCTACCTGCTCTACCAATTATTGAGCCACATGTACAGCTGTCTGCAATTTAATTGTAAATTTGTCTGTTCCTATTGTTAGTTTTTGCTTCATTTATATCAAAGCTGTGCTTTTTATGTGCATTAATTTTTTTATTTCATAGAATTAAATACATTTTTCTATGATTTTAGTTTTAAAGCTTTTACATTTTAGATTTTTATTGATGTATATAATTGTATTTTCACTACTGTATATTTCATTGCATGAATAAACTATTGATGCAATGTAGAATAACTCTAGAACACTTGTCTTTTTAATTGTAGTTCTCATAGATGTGAATCCAAGATCTACAGGGGAAAGTTTCTTTTTAATCAAGAAGAAATATTGTCCATTAGTGCAATTAAATAAATATTAAATGTAAAAATAAAAAAATCTTCCTGATGCAAATTTACAATATGTGCAATGTGCATAATAGATTTTGCATGTAAGATGTAAGCAAATACTTTAGCAAATATTTTAATTTTCAAAAAATCTACATTGTCCAAGGGCTGGCCAGATAAATCAGCTGATTAAAGCACCTGCTTAGGCAGACACAGAGGTCAAGGTTCAATCCCCAGTGTGCTGTGCTGGCCCCAACCCAGGGGCTGCACTGAGATGGTGAATGAGACTGGGTGTGGTGGTGTGTGCCTGTAACCCCAGTGCTTGGGAAGTTGAAAACAGAAGGATCACTATGAGTCTGATCTGTGTTATGAGCCCCTATAGACCCTGTACTAAATACATTTTAGAAATGTACATTCAAAGCTGTATTTTTAAGCATATACATATTTAATTGTTTTTGGTTTTCTTGGTAAAATATCCATTTTATTATCAAGTGCTATTCTTTTTGTGTAAATTTTTTTTATTCTGAAATATCCTTTGTCCAATATTAATAAAGTCATTCTGGCCTTTCTTTAATGTTTGTATGGTATGACTATTTGGAATCTTTTAGTTTAACTCACTTTTGTTTATTTAAAGTGAATTTCTGATAGCACAATCTTTTCCTTTTGTAATTCATAATGATAAGTGTGTCTTAGTCGATACATTTAGGTCATTTTTATTTAATATAAATACTGTGATGTTTACATCTAGGATTAATATTTTAGTAGTCTTCCATCTGTTTCCTCTTTCCTATTTTCTTTGGGTTATTTTAACTTTTAAGAATGGTTTTGTTTTCATTTATATACTTAGGTTCTTATCATAGCTCTTTTTCATATTGTCTTAGTGATTTCTCTGGGGATTATAACACATATCCTTAAGGTTCGCAGTCTAGTTACAATTAATATGTTACCACTTAAAAATCATGTCTCTCATAATATATGTGCTTAACAGTCAGAGCCTAGTTATAATTAATATGTCATCAATTAAAAACTGCAAAACTCCACCTCAGTAGCATATGGGTCCCATTAACTTCCCCCATTATGGTGTACTTGTCACGTACATTACACCTACACACACTGCAAGCCCCCTCAGATGGGGTTATTTTGTTTCCAACCACATGTGTATTTTTAAAGATCTCATAGAAGAAACAAAGTCTACCATATTTATACACATATTTACTGTTTCTGTTACTCTAACTTTATTTCCAGCCTCACATTTCTCTCTACTGTGATTGCCCTTTCATGAGAAGAACTTCCTTTATGATATTTCTGCTATAGCAGTTCAGCTTGTAGCAAAATCTTTTATTTTTCTTTCATCTGGGAAAGTATTTTGCTTTCATTTTTCAAGAATACTTTCACTCTCTGGGCTGACAGATCTTTTTTTCAGTAATTAGATCTTTCTGAAGTACTCTGGCCTCCATGGTTCTGATGAGAAAACTGTGGTCATTTGTATGGAAATTCTCCTGTATAGAATGTGCCCTGATTTTTCTGGAACATTTTAAAGAGTTAGTTTGTTGTTTCATTTTGAGCAATTTTGTTATGGTTCTAAGCGTAGATGTCTTTCAGTTTATCCTGTTTGCAGTTTTTTGTGTTTCTTGCATCATAATTTTTGTTTTAAATTATCTTTTGAAAGCGTTTAGCCACTTTCCCACCAAATAGTTTTCTGTATCACCGTTCTTTTCTGCTGGTATAGTTTATAAGTCGAAATTCAACCCAGTTCGATCAAGGCTACCAGGTCTGTCTGCCATCTGTCAATTCTGTCAGCTACGATTCTAACATTCCCTTAATTTTCAAAGAACAGGCAGTGGGATTTAGATCCACCCAAGGGTTATTGTTATCTCACCCCCAACCCTGGAACCTGCATGGGTGGTCTATCTCTTTGCTCAGTTCTGAAAGCATTTGGATCCAAATATGAAAGAACCCACCCTCATCCATGCAGAGGCAGTGAAGGCTGCATCCGGCATTCATCAGTTATAGACACTCTCCCCTCTGTAATCTCCTCTTCACTTTGTGGGTTCTGGAAGTCTACTGTCTCTCCCACTTCTTGCTCCTCTGTCTGGAAGTTCAGAGGTTTTTTGTTTTTTTTTGTTTTCTAAATCTGCTGCACACCATTTTGGTCTGCTAGGGCCAAGTGGCAGTAAGACAGAGAAAGACAAAGTGGCCCTTAGGCTTTCAAGACCTCAGGTTGTTTGATCATGAGGTCACATTCTCTCACCTCAGCCTTTCAGATACTGGAGACACCAGTGACCCAGGATCACCTGGGCTGACACACAGGGAAGGGGAGCTGGGGGCACAGCCAGATTTTCTTTACTCTGTCTGATTTTAGAAGACCCCTTCCCTGCTGGGCAGAGGGCAGGATGATGCAGGAAACTTACAGCCACACTGTTTTCCTTAGGTAGAATCTACTCCAATCTGCCCACTGCACAGTCTTTTGCATGCTTCTCTTCAGACACTTTGGAGGTGTAGGTAGGGCAGAGGGTCCTCATTCCACCCTCATGGTCCCTGAACCCAGGCTATCTTTAAGCTGTTTTATCCCTCCTAGGGATGTCTCTCACCCCTGGTTGCTCTACAGGTAGAGAAAGTCACTTGCCGGCACACTCATGCGATCTGTGCTAACCAACCAGCTGTGCTTGTAAGCAAGTCATCCACCCCTTCCAAAGAACACAGTCAGTGTTAAGGTTTGTGTTAGGGCTTCTGAGAGCTAAGAGGACTGTCAGGTTCAGGTAATGCCATCTCAATGTAGCAAATCTGAAAGTGAGAGGGGCCAAGACTCAGAAGGGGAAGTGGCTGCAGACCATATAGAACAGTTTGGGTGCTGCTCCTCACGGCAGAGCTTCTTGGTCCTCCTCTGTACCAGAGAGATAATTCTGTGTATCTTGGATTATGAAGATTGGAAAACAGTGAGAAATGTTCATTATAACAATACTTAATAACTGACATTCACAAAGTTTTTGCTGTACTCCAGGCATTGTTAAAAGTGCTTTTTAAGTTAAGCATGGTTGGCCATGCTTATAATTCCAGAACTCAAGAGACTGAGGCAGATTGATTGCTGTGAGATCCAGGCCAGCCTTGGCTACATGCTGAGTTCAAGACCAGCCTGAATTACAAAGCAAGATCCTGCCTCAAAAAAAAAAAAAAAAAAAAAAAAAAAAAAAAAAAAACAAACAAACAAACAAACAAAAAATGAGGCTGGGAATATGTCTGAGTGGTGCGGCACCTGCTTAGTAAGTGTGAGGTCCTGAGTTCAATTCCTCATGCCTGGGGAAACAACAGTGCTTGCCCTAAGAGCTGAGATTAAGTGATTAAGGGGGGCAGGTCCAGTATCCCATGTCCTCTTATAACAAGATGGCTTCTCCCCCTTCTTATCAACAGTTCCATGACTTTTTCCTCAAACTGGCCACCTTCCAATTGGAAAGACATTCTTGTGACATCCTTCTCCTCCACTAAGACAGCATGGCCAAGGGAGGGAAGGGCCCCAAGGGCAAGAAGATCACCCTCAACATGGCCAAGAATTGCATTAAAATCACTTTTGATGGGAAAAAGCGCCTGGACCTGAGCAAGATGGGAATCACCACCTTCCCTAAGTGTATTCTGCGCCTGACTGATGTGGACGAGCTGGACCTCAGCCGCAACATGATCAGGAAGCTCCCCGACTCCATTGCCAAGTTCCAAAACCTGCGGTGGCTGGATCTGCATAGCAATTACATCGACCGGCTGCCCACGTCCCTCGGCCAGATGACCACCCTGCTCTACCTCAACGTCAGCAACAACCGCCTGACCACCAACGGGCTGCCTGTGGAGCTGAACCAGCTCAAGAACATCCGCACTGTGAACCTAGGCCTGAACCACCTGGACAGTGTACCCACCACACTGGGGGCCCTGAAGGAGCTGCATGAGGTGGGGCTCCATGACAACCTGCTCATCTCCATCCCCACGAGCATTGTCCAGCTCCCGAAGCTAAAGAAGCTTAACACAAAGCGAAATCCCTTTCCAAAGGCAGAGGAGGCAGACACCTTTGTGGACTCCATCAAAAGGCTGGAGAACCTTCACCTGGTAGATGAGAAGGACCTGTGTACAGCTTGCCTGAGAAAATGTCATCTGGCCCGGGATAAGCTGAACCGAATCAAGAGCACAGCCACAACAATACCAAGAAAGGCCCTGTTTTCCACTTTGATCTCCCCTAACTCCACGGCCAAGGAATCTCAGGAAGACTGGAGGTGACCTGGGACCCTGATCCCGAGGCAGGAGGGGAAAGAAGGGAGAGCAAGAGCAGGAAACAGGAACCAAGAGAGTGAAGGTGCCCTGTTATAGCAACAGCCCTGCTCTCTCAGGCCATAAAACACCTTTCCTACCTCCTTGGCTTGTGACTGTGTTGACTGGAGGGCTTTGGGTTCCCATTTCTTCCTGTTCTGTACATGGACAGGTGAAGCAAGTCAGGGAAGGGCCACCCATCCACCCATAGTTCTACTCACCTATCCATCTGTCCATCCATCCATCCACCCATCCATCCATCCATCCATCCATCCATCCATCCATCCAGCTCACTTCTGCTCCTGAGCTCTCCAGCCTATAGTCTGGGGCCGGGGGACAATGTTGCCAATGCTTTCTGGCATTTCAGGACCCACTATCCACTCCCAAGTGTGGAGTTTGTTCCACAGAAACTTGTTGGTTCTGAGCTAAAAGGTCAACAGTTCCAAAGTGTGGGTTAGCACTGGTCACAGACAAAACATCAAGTGAGGCCACAGAGATGAACAGGTTTTGAGGACTGCAGGTAGCATCTTGTTCTACCTTTTGCTCTCTACACAGTTTGTTCCAAGAGCTTTCTATCTTCAGGCCCCCATGAGCTGCAAATGCATAAGCTTATTGTACTCCATGCCTTCTTATAACCTTGTGGGAAGAAAGGAGAGAGTGAAGGCAAATATACCTTAGTGTATTCAGCAAAGAAATAGCTCACTTGCTCTGTGCTGGGTTCAAGACCCATGTTCAGTGCAATGAGCTTGGCCCATCTTCTGCAAGCTGGAGCAGAGGCCATCTGAGAAAAGATAGAACCTCCTAGTTTGAGGAACTTAGGAGACAAGAGCCATGACCTTCAGAGACATAGTTAAAACATTTGCCAGATAGCTCTTCCTATGGCTGTATGTAACCACAACTTACTGCCGGGCACTTGAGTTGTGCAGGGTCCACCTGGTGTATAGAAGGCCAGAGATCCTAGAACTGGGCAGACAAAGGTCTTTAATGGCTCTGTTTCTCCTGCTATGCCTGTGGAGCATTGTGTTCAGCCTCATCCATGAGGCACAGCTCACGCCTGCCCCCAGGGCTGCTGTAACTAAAGCACTTGGCACAGAGGGCACACAGGCAGAGGACAGCATTCTTTCCCAAGGCCAGAGCTTGGTGCCTCACAAAGCTAGAACACTGCCTCAGGCAGGCCATGCAACACACGCATGTCTGGACAGAAGCGAGGCTGGCAGAGATGATGCTCACTACAGCTATAGCCCTTTGCTGGCCTCATTGTCCACCACTGGCTGAAAACTGAGAGGATGCAGTAAGCAGCCCCAGGGAAGGCTTTCTGGGGAAGCCATTGCTGCAGTGGTATGCAGAGCACAGCAGGCACCCTCCATGTGGAGGAGGTCCTTCTTTCTCCACACTGTGAACCACAGCAGACAGACGATTCACTGTTCTATGCCGTTCTGCTGATTTTCTTTTGTATTACTCAGCTGTGAGGCCTTCATACATTCAAATTCCTGAAGGAGCTAGATTCAAAGTTCCTATTTTAGTTGCTTTCTTTTATTAAATGCTTTCCATTAGAAGAGTAACGAAACCACGATCTAGCTTTCTACGTGGTGGGTGAAGGTTGCACCCATCTGTGGAGTGAGCCAACTGTAACTCTGGCAGGTTTCCTTACCAGTCATTTTTCTGCTTATGTGTTCATACATAGTTAAAATTACAGTTTATGCCATCTCTATCCTGATTGAAAACCCATGTGGGCATATGGTCTTCGCATCCATAATTTAAAGTGTCTGCTAGATAGTTACTCTTTTGGATATGCATAACTTGAAATGACACTGGGCATTTAGGTTTCTTTCCAACTTCTCACTAATGGAAATAGTTTTGCAATGAGAGCTGGGATGACTAAAACATTTTTAAATGTTTCAGATAATTTCTTTGGCACAGCTGCATCACGGGAATATTGTGTTAAAGGGTATGTTTGTTTTAAAAGTAGTTTTTGAGGGATTCCATTGAGTAGCTTACAGAGGCCTAAGTCCATCAGTGATGGCTTTGGGCACCTGTGGCACGGTGTCCTTGGAGCACTGCATGTTGAGCCTCATGTGCTCCTCCCCTGGAGCCTTGTGAAGATGAAGGGTGGTCATGGCTGAGACCCGTGTGATGAGTGGCACACCCTGGGCTCAGGGAAGCTGTTGGCATGCTGAGTCCTGGACCTGCTCGTGAGCTGCCTGGGTTGCTCTCTTTATCCTTGGTTCTCACAGGCAAAAGGCCCAGCATCCCTGGGCAGACAGTGGCAGCAAGTTTCTGGGCAGAGTGGCAGGGAGTTATCTGGACTCTGCCAGTTCCCGTTGCTCAGCCTGGAGATGCTTTTGTTGGAGAATCAGTGCCCCGTGTCCTGATCTTAGGTGCCAGGAAGACCGATGAAAGGAAGCAGTAAGAACAGCACTGCAGCTGCAGCCCCACCACTCCCGGGCTCCCACCTCTGCCCATGCGGCACTCAGCATGCCGAGTGGGGCCAGCCCTAGAATCCTTTCGCTCTGTCACAGTGTCTCAGGAGTGGATTCAAGTGCTTTGGACTTCACCAGGCAGTGGGCTTTGAACTCGCTCAAGTGAGACACCGTGTTAGCTAGGAGAGGCTGGTACTGTGGGTGAGGACTGCAGAGACAGGAGGTACAGAGCAGCTTGGAAGCACCTGTGTTCTATTTCCTCTCCTGTTGGGGATTGGCTTGATGCCAAAACTCCTTCATGCTCTAACTGCCAGCCACCTTTACTCCCTGGCAACTGTAGGAAATCTAAGAACCCAAGGACTCAAGGACCGTATTTCTTCCTACTGGGTAGCACAGCCGTAAGAGTTCCTGCTGCCTCCAGTAGAACAAAAACACCACACACACACATACACACACACACACACACACACACACACACACTCATACTCATCTCCAGTACTTGAAAGCCAGGTGTGATCCAGTGACCTCCTATGACCCCAGAGTGATCTGTCTTGTGCCTTGTGGCCAGGAGCAACTGCTTCAGCTTCTTGTGTCTCCATCCCCAGGTTGCGCTCAACATCCTCCTAGAGTAGCTTATGGCAAAACAGGAAGACTACTCAGCTGACAGGAACACCCGGCTCTGAAGAGGAGAAGCGGGTTAGGAGAAGACAGAGCACAGGAAACACTCTGAAAGCCAGGCTGCCTGCGCTGCCTATGCCCCTGGCTTAGCTCACAGCCTCACTTCATCTGCTTTTTGTGGGTTTCCTGTGTGTGAAAACAAATCTGGAAAACATCTTGTGTGTTGCTTTAAGTGTATACGGAGGAAACACTTAAGAAAATTACAGACACACATTAGCGACAATGGCAAATGCACACAGTCAGCTTCCAAGGCTCGGGGTCTCTATTTCACTCACACTGGTCCAATCTCAATCTGACCGTAAGCTACACATGTATAACACAAAGCTACAAACAGCTAAAGTTTATACAAAGCATCTACACAGAGGAACTTACAAGCACACTACAGATAAATCAAAGTAGAATCTTAATGCCTCTTTCAGTTATGCACAGGAAGGCAGAAAAAAGAAAACACAAAGACGAACAGGGAAAGAAAACAATACAAAAACTAAAATGGCAAACATAGGTCCTGACATTTCAGCATTCACATTAAATGTAAACGGTCAACTTTATGTGTAATGACACCAGGGTGGGAACAATCAAATGGCCTTCAGTGCACCAATGTGGAACAAACTCTGGTATGTTCATACTGTGAGCTACTACCTGGTCAAGAAACAGGAACACGCTATTTACATGTGCAACAATTGGAGTTGAGCTCAGTGGTATTATTCTGAGTTAAAAACAGCCAACCTCCGAAGATCACCGCCTCTGATTATATTTATAGAATGTTCTTTAAATGACAATGATAGAGATGGGAGGTGGATGAATGGCTGCCGGAAGCTAAGAATAGCTGGGAGAGGCAGAGGCAGGTATCATCATAAAGGGCAGCATGTGAGATCCTCGGTACATGTGTTATGTTGCAGTGGTGGTATTACAGGAATCTACAGGTGTGATAGGGTGACAAAGATCCACGCAACACATGTGGCAGTGAGAATGCCCTGGTTTGAAGTTGTACAGTAAACAGCATGTACCTGAGGAGGCTGTAGGGAAATGAGGTGAGGGCTGCAGGGAGCCTCTCCACTACTGTACAAGTTCCTGGCGATAATAAACAGATCCTTGCACCTCTCTCCAGTGCCAATCTGTGAGCCACTCTCTCAAACTTAGAGTGAAATTTGACCACAAAAAGTCTGCACAGAGCCATGATCCCTCTACCACCCCAGAAGTAATGAGGCCAAATTGTTGGAAAGAGGGGGCCTAAAGAAAAGAGGAGAAAAGAGAGCCAGCTTTCCAAGAGCCACAGTTGCTCCTGATGGCTGGGTCCATCCAGGAAAGACAAGAGAACACATACACTATGATCTTCTGGGTGGGTAGGTCTCTAAAAACCATGCTAGGCACCTACCTCTAACAGTGAAGCCACACCTGGGGACACATTTACTGTACAATATCCAAACAAAGGGACCTCAACTCCACTGCTATTAACTATAATCTCACTTGTATTGGGACCCCCCCCCCCGTGGGCTTCAGGCACCATGACAGCTCCTCAGATGTTCCTATAGGGAAAACCTCCAGATCCAATAGGAAGGAGAACACTTGTCTCTCTCACTGGAGTGAAGAGCCCCAGCCCCAGCAGCAGCTTCGTCCCTGTAGACATCAGACAGAGGCTCTGATGCTGGCTGCTTCTGGGCTGTGAACTTTCCTCATTGACCAGTTCGCACTCTGAGGAGTTCATCCTGGATAATCTCTGCTTTCACTTTTGAGTTTGTGCATTCTGCTCAATTCTTCACTTGGGATACCAAGAACCTAAGATAGTCACCAGCCCTGAAAACATTTCAGCATCTCAAAAGAAAGAACACCTTTCCCTCTGCCCATTAGACTAATTTAAAATTGCCCACTGTCATCTCATCCTGGAGGATGACTGAAAGGGTTAATAAAAGAAAAAAAAATGTATGGCTTCCACCCATGTCCTAGCTTTCTGGAAGTGACTGGGAATAGGCAGCGCCTGGGTGGGGCCCTGACCCAATGCATGCGTGCCTCTTCCTCAGCTGCCTGTCCTCATCATGGTATTGGTGAGCACAGAGGCTGTGGGGCCATCTGGTGAACAGAGCTCCAAGGAAAAATGGGCATGCTGGCTGCAGGGAGCTGGGCTGAACCAGGCTCCTGCCTGCTTAGGGGTCTAAGGATGCAGCTGAGGGTACAGGTGGGACAACGCATGAGCGGAGTGCAGCAAAAGAACAAAGAGCCAGATCTGAGCATGAGCGGGATAGATGCACCCACTCTGATGCCCGTGTCCATTGCGCCAACTGTGTGAAAAGTTCCTACATGCTGTGCCTGGATTCCATGCTCAGAATTTTTAGTTTGTAGTCAGACTTAGTCCAATCTCTGAAGTTCTGTCCCAGACCCCAGGTGTCAATCTTGTTGTCTGTACCACTACCCTCTTGGGGCTGCCGGTCATCAAGAGCCCAAGGAGCCAAGGACCATATTTCTACCATCATAGTGGTATGGAGCTATCTATCAAAGTGACCACATTTGTAACATGTTTTTGGCCTCTGAGTCCACATTAACTCTGGGGGGTGTGAGTGATAGAAAAGAAAGTGAGGAGACTTTGTTACGGTTTATACCTAGATGACCCCCAAGTCTCATGCATTCATAGGTGGGCATTCTGGGAGGTGACTGGACCATGGGGGCATGACACTCATGGGTGGATTAGTCCACTGGTGAGTTTATAGCTAAATGTGATGCTGGCAGGTGAAGCCTGATTGGGGAAGGTGGGTCAGTAGGTGCGTGGCTTGCAGGAGTTTATCTCCTTGCCACTCTTCCCTTGATCTCTCTCTGCTTCCTGCCACCATGCCATGCGTGGTTTCTCTGCCATGTCGCCCTATGTGGGGGGCAGAAAACCATGGACTGAATCCTCTACAAACTGTAAGCCCAGTAAACCTTTCCTTCTTTAACTTGTGAGTGTTGGGTAACTGTATTCCAGTGGCAAGAAAATAACTAAGATAGAGCACTTGATTTTAAGGCTCCACATGACTGAGAGTGGTGAATGGTTGTGGTGGGTGATTTGCAAGTCCATCTCCTCCTAGGAATTTCATAGTTTCTGTGGCTAAGTTTCTAAATCTCTTCTCTTTGATTGGTTATCAGAGATAATCTACAGAGAAAATAAAACAATGAAAACCCTCAACTACAGAACTTGATGTTCAAAAGTGAGTTTTGCTCTAAGCTTCAGCTCACCACACCTTGTTCCCAGGAGCTTTCTCCAAACTTGATGCTGTGCCAGAATTGTGCCAGGCAGGATTCAGAAAGACCAGGAAGATTCAATTCCAGTAGTGCAAATGGCCGTGGCCATGACTGAACAAACCATGGCAGAAGTAAAAGCAGCCATTCAATACATGTGGAGCCCAGCACAACCCTGTCATCTACCTGTGGATGAGTGACAGATGGCTCTCAAGTAGCTGGCTCATCTCTGCAGAGCACTCTCCCCTACATGTAGCGATCATCTCTGGAGCGAGCCAACTCAGTGGCCACAGCCAAGGTCCAGCTCTCTTTAGTAGTGTTCACTAGGGTCTCTTTGTCTGGAGTAGGAACAGAGCTCGCCAGCATGCATGAAGAACGGTGCAGAGGGGCAAGGACCCTGCATTGCTGCCATTATACAAGGGAGAGAGTGCTGCTTATAGCTTGAAACAGCGGAGGGGTCACTGTGCCATGTGACACAAGGCAAGAGGGTGGCAGTGGACAGAGTGGTCTGCGTTACAGCTGGTGAGGACCATGGTCTCTGGTGAGCCCCTTTGCGTGGGGGCATTCATGCGCCTCTGTGTTCACCTCTTCATGACATCAGTGCCATGATTCTCCCAGGGAGTACCCTTCTCTCAGCTTGGTCTGTGGTCTTGGGTAAGCTGACCTCACCCTAGCACTTAGGTGGACAGATCACCCTGGTCCAGCCAAGGAAGACATTTAACTAGTTCCAGGATGTGCATGTAACTTCACTAGAGGAAAACAAACTCAGTGTGGATTTTTTTCCCCCAAAAATCACCAGGATAGAGCACAAGTAGTATATGGCTGAGTTCTCCAGTGACTGCCAGCTGGGAGCCACTCGGCACAGGGGAAGAGGGTGAATCCAAAGAATAGCCTCACTGAAGGAGGACAGCCAGCTGCCTGAGGACTTCCTGAACTCAGACACCTTGCAAGCCTGCAGCAGGACCATGCTGGCTTCCAAGCATGCATCCTGACAAATTCCTTTCCGTTCCATTTAGAATGAGGAGCCAACCACCACCAGCACTAAAGCAGCACTGAGGACCTCATGCAGGACAGATAGCAAGGTTCTCACAGAAGCAGTGCAAGGTGTTCAGGGCTGCAGTCAGCCCATGTGTGTGCACTTAGGGCTGCTGAACAACTGAACTGTGTCTAATACTGCAGGGAAACAGTGCCCCATGATCAGAGACCCTGGTAGCCCAGGCCTCCACAGGGGCCCTAGGCTGCCCTCGGCAGCTAAAGGGTTAATACTTGCTAACAGCCACCATGCCAGGCCTGATAAAGGTCATCTGTAAGTGGGATGGGATGCCAAGTTCAATGGTCAGGCCCTAGCTCTTCTCTCAGCAGGCACGTCCACACCTGCCACTCCCATCCTGAAGCCTGGCTCACAGGGCATCTTGCACACCTTCCCATTTGTCTCTTTCCCACACACTGCCCCTTTGGGCTGGTGTGTCCAGAGCAGTCTACAACCTTATTTCATGTGCATACTACCCCTGGTAACCCTGTCCATGCTCATGGTTTTAAGTACTATTCCAAATTTACGTCTTCCTGGATTTGCCTTATCCTCTGCAGTCACACCCCCAGCCCCTACCAGGATGTGTGCTGAGCATCCCAGAGGCATATGTCCAAACAGCACACCCAGCACTCCTGAGATTCAATCCTCACCACAGCAGCTCTTGTCCCTTGCTGTTCCCCTGCTCTGCGTGCTTTTGTGCTTTCACCCCACTTTGCTTTCCCTGCTCAAGCCTAAATCCATTCTCTAATCCTCAAGCTCTCTCTCTCTCTCTCTCTCTCTCTCTCTCTCTCTCTCTCTCTCTCTCTCTCTCTCCATGTGTGTGCACATGGTAGCCATCAAAACCCATCAGATATAACTTCAAAATACATTAGTAGCATCTTTGCTGCTAACTCCTGGATGGGAGCCTCTACCATTTGTCACCTGGGTCACCACAATGGCTCTGCATCAATCTCTGGCTTTCACTCCTGAGCTGCTCTGATCTATTTGTTTTATTCACGCCTGCTTGTAATGCAGAATAGTGATGTTCATTTTGAAACTGGCACATGCGCACACAACATATCTTGATCTCCTGGCCAGTTTCATGGTCATTTCTCCAAGAGTCTACCTTCCAAAAGTATTTTTTTTAATGCAGGGTCTCTCTATAGTGCACACTGGACTTAAACACAAATGATCCTCCTGTCTGAGACTTCTAAGTGCTACAATTATAGGCGTGTGTCATCATGTCCAATCTGTCTATGCTGGCACAGCAATCAAAGTGATTCTTTTCAGGTAAAAGTCAGATCACGTGAATCCTCTGCTCAGAGCCTTTTGAACCTTCCCTTTCACTCATGGTGAGGCAACAGCATTACTGAGCCCCCAAGGATCACACAAACTCACCCCTGCTAACCCTGCCCACCTTGGCCGCTGTACCCCAACTGCTACAGGCTCAGCCCCATCAACAAACACCCAATCCCTTCTCTTTCCTCCACAGGAAGTACTTTTCTTAAATCCCATGCAAAACTGATCTCATCATGTTGGTCAAATTCAAGTCAAACACTGTTCCCTAGCTGTGGGTGCCCGCTAACACCCGTCTAAGGTCATAATGCCACCTCTGCTCACTCTGTTTGCTACACTTATGGTCTAATATTGTCTTATTGCCCGTTCACTTGCATAGCTTTATGCCTGTGCTCATCATGGAATGTGAGCTCTGTGAGGATGGAAGACTCAGGCTATTTTTCTTACTGCTTTGTTGAGCATCCAACACCACGTACCATGAACTATAAATAGGTAATTGTGAATGAATTAGGGGGATCCAGACCACTCTCATGGCAAGCATTGTGGATATCATTCCTGAGCCTGTCTACTCTCCCCACATACTCCTGGAGGAAACCAGTAACCACCTCACTATACTCATTCCTAACTAAAATAAAAACACTTACTAATCTTGGGTTGGCCTACAGAAAATACGGTGCCTGCAAAGGGGGCCTTAGGGAGGAGCAGTAGCCATTTAACTCCAGGGAAAGATGCCTAGGTCAAAATTCACAAAGCACCATCGCATTTACCACCACCATAGATAGACTTAGCAGCCCTTATGTAAATGCTTAGAGCCAGAAATGATTCTAACTTCAGATTACTTTAGGTTGTTAGATATTTGCATATTTTAATGACACTGAGATATCTTGTGTCATTAAAGTCTGACCAAGAAATCCACTGCTCTTCTGAAGGCTGCCAATGAGACCCATGTGGCAAGCTCAGCATCATTTCGCTGTCCCATACACAGCCTGAAGATGACTCCAGGAGGGCTTTTTGGTGTGTTGTCCTTTTCACCACAACCTATCACACAAGCTCACATGAGAAACTGTGCACTTGGTGGCATCATATGTACTTACACTGAAAAGCTTTCAAATTTTGGAACATTTCAGATTTTCTGACTAGGGATACATAGCCTTTATTAACTTGCTCTGCCCACTCAGAAAATCTTATAAAGGGAAGGACAGACTTGAGATGACCCCAAACACTCATCCACACCTGAGGACCTGGTCCCCAGGCTGTGCTGAGGGTGGCCATCATAGGCAGGCCCACTTGGCCCTCAGGTCTAAGAAAGCCATCGGGCTTATGGAATTTCAGATCCATTCACAGAGGTGTGGCAGGATTTCTAGAATCAAGGGCAAGTGAGACGCAGATGGACCGATAATGGGAAGCCAGGAGAGTGATCTCTGCATGGCTCCAGAGTAGTATCAGGAAGGGGAAGATAATCACAGTAAGACAGCACCAGTCCCTGTGACCCAAGACCCCATGTTACCTGAGATTGAGGGGGTCCTCTGAGTTGCCTTTCCCCTTCAAACTTGGCTGGAAAGAACAGAAGCTAAACAAAAAGAAAGGGATAATCTTATCAGCACAGCCCACCTTCTCCCACCACCTGCGGAGACATCTTCAGAGCTAGGCAAGAAACTGGTTCATCTAGTTCCTACATGGCCCAAGGCCCATCATGCCCTGAGGCCACAGATGCCAGGCCCACTATGCCCCTGGGGGATGCCGTAAGCACCTAGAAGCATCACCACAGCCTCAACAGCAACAAGGACTGCAATAAAACAGCTGTCACTCATTAAGGTAATAACTTTAACCTTCTCTGGGCAGGCAGGCGTGTAAAAATTTCAGGGTAGTTTTGACAACCACTGTTATCCATTCCAGTGTGTCACCCTGAGACAAATGTCATCATGATTTAAGGCTCTTGTGGCAGATCCACTCAGAGCTAAGGAGTTTATGTTAGGCCACATGTATGGCCTGAACTGTGGGCTACTGTTTAATCTGCAATGTTCCTCAAAGGCCCAGTGCATTAAAGACTTGGTCCCTGGGGTGGCACTGTTGAAATGGGTGGAAGTGTTGAGAACTGGGTCCTGCAGAGGGTGGTCCTTATCTCCTCAGGTGCATGCCCTCTTAGGGAACTGTGGAAGCCCAACCTCCCCTTGCTGTCTTTCCCTTCCCCACCAAGAGGTGAATGACTTTACCACCGCCTGCCACCACAATGAGCCCCTCATCCCAGACCCAAACCAATGGACCCAACAGACTGATCATGAATGGGAAGCCCCAACATTGTGAGCTAAAATAATTCTTTCTTTATAAGCTGATTAGCTCAAGTGTCTTGTTATAGTGATAGAGCAGTTACGACTGTGTAAGACCTCTAGGTTAACCGAAGAACTGTTTTATGTGCAGGAACCAGAGAGGGAAATGAATTAAGGTCACCATTACATGTCTGTCATTCGGTTTGGACTGAAATGGACTCCAAAGCCCATTTTAGGAGGAACATAATAGCAGCCTTGGAGGAGTCTCACGAAGGTCTTACTGGGTTTAGGAAGGTTGACCAGGGCCAGCAGACCCTGCTGCTACCAATATGGGAACTGTTTCCCTACACTCTGGTCCTGTTTCTTAGGTCCAGCAGCTATTCCTGGAGCCACTCACTGGCTAGGGCCACCAGGACAACGAAGATAGAATTTCTGAGCACAAAACATGGCTCCTAGGTGGTGAGAGTTAAATCTTTCCTCCAAATGTCCAGCCCAAAGTAGAGAAAATATAGCTATGTCTCTGTTACCCCAGCCTCCAAGTGGCCAGCTCTGGCCATACCTCATCTTCTCTGGCTTTCCATATGCTTGATAAATCTATCTATACCTTTTTTTTTTTTTTTTTTTTTTTTTTCAGAACCAGGGATTGAACTCAGGCCCTTGAGCTTGCCAGGGAAGCGTTTATTCCACCGAGCCATCTCTCCAGCCCCTATCTATACCTTTAATAATAATAAAAATAAATGTCCTTGAATGCTACAAATTTAGACAAGGGCTAATACCTCACTGGCAGAAAAGAGGAGCTGAGCTGAATGAAAGAGCGGCCTGTTTTTAAGAATAAAGATGTTCATGCACAGTGGGAAACCAGTTGTTTTGAATTCTTTCCAGTAGAATATCAAAATGGAGCTACTAAAATTAGCAATTGGCATCAAAAAGAAAGAAGAAAAAAAAAACTTGGCAAATTGGAAATATCTTCAGAACATTCTAGAATGTCCATTCAACAGCCAGTTCTGAAAGAGATCATATCTGCCTGAGTTTCCTCCTTCAGTCACTGCTGCCCAAAACCAGTCTGTGGAGATGAAAGATATGGGGAAGGGGCTGCTCTACCTCCTGTCTGTATCTGTTCCTGTCAGGCTTCTCCTGTGCTGTGGGACAGGAAGCACTTCCTTGTGCCTCATCCAAGTCCTGCTTGCTGTGGGAGAGTTAGAACACTTTTCCTGAAAGCAGAGCTGAGCCAACTCTGTGTTTGTGCTCTGTGTTCAAGATCTGCTTCCCACAAAGGAAAAGCTTCGGTCCCTTACCTTTTGAAGGCTTTACTCCGATCACTGTTATAGAAGACAAGAAACTTGGAATATCCATTTTGGAAAAAGAGCTCCATGGCAATGTCCTGTGAAAAGAAACTACTTTTATTACCTCCAACATTTTAACTCATCTGCTACTCTGTGTATTCCCAAAGGTAGACACAATATATGTGCCTCAAGTATCCACAGGGCTCTATGCATATAGAAGAAAGCACAAGGCATGGTCTCCCTTGCCCTGGAACTGAGGAGCTGCCCAAGGGAAGAGGGAAGCCAGCCCAGGCACACTGCCCAGAGAAAGCTGTCCCGGCCCCCTGCAGCACCTCCTTGCCCACACTCCTCATAAGGTTGCTTGGGAAAGTTTACCAAATGAGAGCAGCCTTGAGGGAGGAACAGGGCTCAGACCCAGCCAAGAGCAGCTGGCTGGGCCCTGGTCACAATTCCAGCATTAACTGGAATTTTGCTGAAACGCTTTCTGAGCTTCAGTTTCAGAGAGTGCCCCAGACACTTCTGCAGGAGCCTTCCCTGATGCACACACCCAATGCAAGTTTCCCCACTAGCCTCTAAAAGGAACCAGACCATGCACAGGTGAGCACCAAGTCCTGTCCTGCTCCTCTCCTGCACTTTTCTCATTTCTTTTTGCTCTGGCATCCCAGGAGGCCTGGGGACAGGAACACAGCTTTTTCTTTCCCCCAAGCTCTACTTCTACAAGAAACTGCATATTCTGAGGACATGAGGCCCAGAGTTCTTTTTCTGCCCTGTGGAGCCTGGCCAAGTTGAAGTAGGCAACTTGCTGCTGCCTCTTCCTCCAATAGGAGCCACCTGATCTGGGGTGGCACCAGGGAAAGCCCATAAAGACTGTGGGGAGAGCCAGGAGAACCTGGTGGGGAGGGGAAAGTTAGCACGACCCTGAACCGCACAGCCTGGCAAATGACCAGGAACTTGCAGCTAGCTGAGTGCTAGGCAGGGGAGGACAGGGGAGACCAGGAAAGGAGCCCTCACCGCATGGTCAGTGCAGGGCAGCAGCCTGGATAGTCCTCTCTCAGCTCTCTGGTAACAAAAGGGAACTGCCACCCTGTTCCTAAATCTCCCAGGCTGCCCTGGGGTATGTCAAGACAGACAACACAGAACCTAACTCTGAATGATACAGAGAGGGAAGGAACAACTTTGAAGCCATGGCTGGGACTGGACAGGATAAAGTGGGAGTTAGAATACCCAGACTGCTGGGACCAGCACAGCCAGGGACCCCACAGGGTTACCAAGTCCCCCAGTGATAGGCCAGTGCAAAACGGGGCCCTGAGCTGTGCCCTTGAATGTGGGGCCATGTGTCTCCCGATGAGGAGGCCCTCCTGCCTGTCCTGAGGGGCTAGATCAGAGCCCATCATACCTGCAGCAGGAAGCGTGCCTGCCGGAGCTCCCTGAGATCCTCGTAGCTGTGGCACTCGCATGAGTAATGGTCAGAGGACCTGTCTTTGCTGCACATGTTGAAAATGAAGGGGTCACTGATGCTGGAAGGAAACGAAACAGGCAGTGGCACATCAGTCATCGATAGCCTCCTTTCACTTCCTACCTCGGCAGGCCCACTGAGTTTGGGGGACACACTGAAGGAAAGCCAACTGGCATGTGAGAGCCCATGAGGAGACCAGCCCTTCCTGAGTGCTTGTCTAAGTCTAGCCAGCACCAGAGACTCCCAAGGAGTCAGGAGGCAGTCTGAGGGGACAGGACCACGAAACACTGAGCAGAAGAGTAGGTGAGATGCTATTAAACCACATGCCTCTTAGTACCTTTTGCCTTCTTCTCCCACACCTACATCCTGGCAACCCTGAAAGTTTTCAGGTGGACTGTCCTGAGTTTCTGGGTATCCCCAACCTGAGATAAAGAGGTCCCTTGCATTCTGAAGACATTGCTTGATCACACAGCAAAACATCTGTCCAAAAATCAGAGTTCATCTAGTTTGTAAAAGCCAGGCCTGACTGAGAGAAAACAGGGATGGTGAAACTCTTCAAATCCTTGATCCAAGACTCAAGCGCAAGGTGCAAGCTTTGCGACAGGTCAGGCACTCTGGAAGAAGGCAGAACGGGGACATGAACTCATGTGACCTGAACCCATGCTTCCCCATGAAGGGAGGCCTGTGGAAGGGTGAGGTGGGTCAGAGATAAGACTCCTTGATAGTGACATGATGGTCATGAGAGGGTGGTCCCAAAGGATGACAAGGGGACCTCTCCTCTCAGAAAGAAAGGGGAGATAACAATCATAGGTTTTCTTGAATGTCTGTTCCCAAAGAGAACATTCTGTCAGCTGGAGTCATCCAATTATCTTGAGGGTAAGAATCTTGGACTTGCATGCCTAGCTGATAGTCATGGCTGAGCACAGAGAGCCAGAGTCCTTGTGTAGCTAGACTTAGGTGATGTGCTCTAAGGACCTCTGTGGGCCCTCTTTAGAGCCAGCCTCCCAGGCCTTTTGCTTGAGCCGCCTCCATAAGATCAACTGAATACAACTTGGCCTTGGCTCTGGATGCTTTAACTCTCACCTGTGGCATCCATTGTGGACACCTCTGCTGGGTCTCAGCTGAGCTTCCCCTTGAGCTTTTCTGGATCTGAAGGACCACAGACAAATCTTCTTCTACTCTTGACTTGGGTAACGGTATTTCATCCAGGCCTGGCAGGAACAGCAACCACGGGCTGTTCCTTCCCGCTTGTGGAAGCCACACCAAATCCCTCACCATAGACCTGCATGTGGCCACCTTTTCTCCTGCAAGCTATGATAAGCCCAGACTCTGCACAAGGATCACTGCTCTTCATCTTCCCCTGGGCTCTGGCCATATTTTCTTGCTCCCATCCTCAGCCATTTTTCTCTGGGTCCTCAGAATGAACATCTACTAGGGGGAGTGTGTGTATTAGTCCCATACCAGGAATTGAGAGACAACATTCCAGAGGGATGAGACTGCAAGGTCCTATGGCTATGGAGAGGTGAGACTTGGATTCTAATCAGCATTGCCTGACTCAGAAAGCCTAACTATTTGACATTGTCTCTGTGTGAATACATTTTACAGAGCTCTTCTCCCTAGCCCCCTCCTTTCAGTATGCAATATGCTTCCTGATTCTGCTGCATGACCCTCTGAAGTAACACAGGCAGCAGGAGGAATGTTCTGGAACATAGCCAGGGACCATTTACAGTTTTCCTTCTTATAAGAACTGTATAACCATGTAGGACAGGAATCCTAGGGAAGGACACTGCTCCCCAGAAAAGACAAATCCTATATATTACCAACTTCATGCTGAGGTCTGTCTTATGTAGCATGATTTACAGATGTAGCTGGATTATATATTCTCTACAATAAACCAGAGGTCAGGCATCCAAGGTGGATGGATAGGGAGGGGCAGCAGCATCATGTCCTTCTTTAAGGAACGCCTGTTGTTATGGCCTATAAGTTGTTTTTCAAGGTTCCTCTGCCTGCCCACTCTCATGGCATAAGAAAATCATCTGGATCAGAATAAAGTTTACTTTGATTTGCCCCTATTAAAAATTATTCAATTATGGCCAGAATTATACCTGAAATTTAGACCTGGAATCATCCTCTAGATTGTAAACTCTTGAGTAGATTCAACCCATGTCCATGGAGTCTACCGCCATACCTAACCCAAGATAAACTTTCAATAGGTCTTTGTTGAATTCAATAAGCAGAGAAATGCTACCTTGTGCCTGCTCAGTGACGTGGAGGGAGAACCTGGCTTTCATCCCCTATCACTAAAGTCCAGCTGGATAGTTTGAGGTCCCACCAAGTCAACCAAATGACTGTTGTGAGCATAACTGCCATTGGTACAGGTAGGACTTCATCCCTCAGAAGAAATAAGTTTAAGCAAGATGTGACTTTATTTGGAAGTGGATATTTATAGGATTCATCATTTAAATTAAGTCATCAAGGTAAGATCTTATCCAAGATAGCTGGTGTTCACATAAAAGGGGAAATTTGGCTGAAGAGACACAGGGGAGTGGGGTGGGGAATGGCATGAAGATATAAGCAGATGGCCCCACGACCTGAGCTACAAGAATGACATGAACCACCTAGGATGGTCACATGGGGCAGAAGCTGGCTGTTTCAGTTACTCTTCTCTCATTGCTAGGACAAAATACCCAACACCCAAAATGAAGGAAGTAAAGGTTTATTTAGCTCACAGTTAGTGGAGGTTTCAGTCCATACTCAGCTGGCTCCAAGGCACAGTGGCACATGGCAGAGGGAAGCTGTTCTTTGCAGTGGAAAACAGCAAGAGCAAAAGAGAGTAGCAGCAACAGTGGCAGCAGAGAGCAAGTCCTTCATGGTGGCAGTAAAAAGCAAGACAGCAAAAGGGGAAGCAGCAGCTCAGGCAGCTAGCTCGCCTCTTGTTATGGTTTGTGAATAGGTGTCCCCCCAAAGCCTCATGCAGCCACGGGGCAGCCTCTGGAGTTTGTGATTGATTACTATGGGTGTGGATGCTGCATCTGCCATGGGGCAGGTAATTTGCACTACAATGTAAAGTAGGAAGAGAGGCTAGCTTCATGAGCTGCTGCTACCCTTCCCTTTGTGCTCTCGCTTCTTTGCCTCCACCATGAAAGGTTGCTTTCTGCTATGTGCTGCTCTGCCTTGGACCCAGCTCAGTATGGACTGAAACCTCCAGTAACTGTGAGCTAAATAAACTTTTTCTTCCTTCATTTTGGGTGTCGAGTATTTGTCCCAGCAACCAGAGAAGAGTAACTACAACACTGCTCTCCCCTCCTCACATTGTAATGCAGAGTATCTGCTCCGGGGCACTCACACCCATAATCCCAACATTGAATCATGAATCAATCACAAACTCCAGAAGCCCCCCCACCCCCTATGACTGCATGTGGCTTTGGGGGGACACCTAGATACAAACCATAGCACTGGCAAAGGGAAGGAGGGATCTTCTCCGTGAGCAGTCAAGGCACCCTGCTGACACCTTGGTTCCACACTTAGTTTCTAGAATTTGAAACAGTGCATTGCCACTCTTTTAGAGCCACCCAGTCTGGACTATCCCTATAAAACTAGCAGAGCTGTTCAACTTTCAGCCAAGACAGAAAGCCCATGTAAGTAAGAGCTAACCCTCTCAAGAGATTCTTAGTTTTTTAGGAAAGTTTCAAAGTACACAGGTTCAATCACCAATGGGGAACTTGGAGTGTTCATGAGCTTTATTTGGGATGTTTTTATGGTACATCAGGGGGCTCTTTCAAGGTCTAGCACTCATCCATACTCAGCTTGATGGCAGTCTTTTAGAGAAGCTTTTCAGGCTTGACTGGGCTTTATTTTTAACAAGCTTATTTATGTATCTTCCTTAGTCTCCATGGTCAAAATAAGACTTAATCCCCATTGACCTGACATGATCTACGAGCCTCTCTCTGAGAATCGCATCTCCAGGAGTGCAGGAGTTTCTTAGGGTCATAGACAAGACCCCAGAGAGAGAGCACTGTCTGATTAACAAACGCTTCTGCCAGGCGTGGTAACTAAAATCACCCTTGCAGTTCCCCCCAAGACTCTAGGGTAGTAATTTGTTCTCACTCTGCTCCTACTTGCATTCTAGAAAAGTACACTTCCAGACAAGGGAGGTCTCTCCTGTCATTGCAAATCAAGTAAGTGTATACAACCTGACCACAGGGCTTCTATTAAAAGTGCAGAGAGAGTCAATTTGATCAGGATTAGATGCACCTCACAAACACAATTTATTTAATCAATAAGATCTTGTCTAACACCAGCTCACTCTACTCCTGAGGTTATGTAAGTCATCAATGGCATACCACACAGATAGCAATGGAAGAAGCTCCCACCAGCCCTCAGAAAGGCAAGTCTGCAGCCTTGCTGCCCATATTGATCAAGATCAATAAAACATGAGCAAGAAGATGGGACAAGTGTGCCAAGGATTAATTATGTTCCTCCTGTCTAGGAAAGTCAAAGAAAACTTGCAGTATTAGGTAGATATTTAGTAGGATTAAAAAATAGAAATTAGCAGAGAGAATTTGCCAAGAATTCCATGATCCTTCAACTCTTGCTTCCTGCCACAGGTTGAAAGCCCTATGACAACTGGAAGTTAAACTTTTTACTGCTTGGCAGGTCAAGCCTCCAATTCGTCCATCAATAGCCTAAAATAGTGGTTCTCAAAGTGTGGTCCCAGGCCAGAGTACAATCATCCTGAGGTAGGAACTTGGTAGAAAGAATCTCAGGTCCTACTCAGACCTACTGAACTAGCAATAAGGAATGGGCTGGGCCCAAAGTCTGTGTTCTAACAAGGAGTCGCAATGATTCTGGGGAGCCATCAGGCTAAGAGGTCATCTGATCATCACTTGGTACCTCAGCTAACCATAACAGGCAGAGCTATCTCGACGTGGGAAAATCTCCAACCAAATGTCTTCAAAAGCAATGATTAGTTGAAAATCCACAACTTGACAACTGGACTTTTGAAAAAACAGCAACCATGGCCAATCTAACTTTGAAGTGAATGGTTGTACTTTAGAAACACACAATTATTGATCAATAAAACTGGTTGAATCCAAATAGGTCAAACACAAATAGACAAAGAAGAACCTTGGGATTTCCTACCCAAAATGTCCAGTATTAGTTGGGATGAAAATGACTCACAATTTCTACCCATCCTTCAAGACCCTGACCTGCACCACCTCCTCCAGTATTCCTCCCTCATATGTAATCCCATGGCCTCTCTGCAAATACACACCACAGAGTCCCCTCAGAACCATAAAGAGGCTCCCACCATATGCATCTTGTCCTATGGTAACAGTGAGCTCCAAGTCCTTCCAAAAGAACTGTGTGACAATGGCACTTCTGCCTCTGCCTGATGGCAGCATGTGTTCCCTTAGTAGAATGGAAAATCAGCAAATCCTTGCACAGACAAACTGATGTGACTGAATTTAAGCACCCAAATAACCTGAGGACAGATCCCCATGGCCTGTGCCTTGGGTTCCAGACCAAGAGAGACATGAGGAGCTGCCTAGTAGTTATTCACACCAGAACTCAGTTCTTGGGAAACTCAGTCATGCATGGCCTGTGGCCTGGGATCTGCTGTTTTATCTCATGGTTCAGGCTCAGGTACAGTCCAAAGCCTGCAGTTAAGAGTCACATGAGGAAGAGAAGTGTAGCTCTAGGGAGATCTGCTGGGACATATTGAAAACTCACTTGGATAAGCAGTGGCGGGTGCAGTAGACGTCACCTGTGGGAGACAGCGTAAAGTTCTCACAGAGGTAGAAGTGCTGGTGGCCAAAGAGCAGAATGCCTTCTGAGACCAGGTGGCCCTGCACAATCACCAGGGAAAATTTCTGTGTCACCTGGAGGGAGAGAGCACTGGAGTCAGGCTGTGTTCAGGCAAAGCATGCCCATGGTTCTCAGGAAGGGTAAGAGACAGGTACCAGTCACCCACTGGGCCCCTGAGGTAAGAACAGTGCCTCATATGAAAGATGGTCTATGCCATGATTCACAGCCTGGGTGGCACTGGTACCCTCAACTTCCTGTGCAGTTGATCATCTTTCCAAGGACACCTCCACTTCCACCAAGACACTAGGGTGATGTCTGTTGCTGTGTTAAGTAACCCCAGTTCCTCCTCACTTTAAGCATCCCCATGGCAAAGTTCTACAGCTGGCTGGAGGAGAGGTACAAAGTGTCTGCAATGATGAGGAAAAGGAGCTTGTCCAGGGGCCTGGTGTAGAACATGACAGGACTAGAGCCTAAGTGCTCAAGACTTTACTGGTGTCTCTGCAAGGCCAAGGCAAGTGTGCATGGAGGATGCACAGTGTTCCTCCAGATCCTGCTGCTGGGAACAATGCCTGTCCCCCAGCTGAGGAAAAGTCCAAAGCTTCCCAGAGCTTCCTTAACTTCAGAGAGCATCTGGGCCATGATCACAAGCTATCCCAAGATCACAACCTAACCCAGGGGCAGCTGGCACCCAACCCTGGCCACTGTGGAGGGGGAGGGGGAATCATCCCTGCGCCAGTACTTGGAACCACACTGGAGAAAGTCCCTGGTCCAGGAGTGCATCAGAGTTGCTTCTCTACCTTCTCCACCAGACTGTCATGCAGCCCTAACTCACAGCAAACTCCCTGCAGGCACGCTTTTGGATCACAGTTGGTCTCCTGGAGGCTGAGCTTGATGATTACCCAGAGTCCTGAAGTCAAGGCCTCTCCTGTCTCAGGGCAATTCTGTGCTTATTCCAGCCACACAGAAGCATGGTATTTTTGGAAGGAAACCTCAGGAGATTGGAATCACACCAAAGCCTGGTCAGAATGGTGTGTGCCTCTAACCCCAGCTACTTAGGAGGCAGAAAGATTCCTTAAAACTAGGAGTTCAAAACCAACCTGGACCACAAAGTGAGATTCCACATCCAAGAAAGAATCTTACCAAAGATCAGTCTCTTAATGCTATGGTTTGAATGTGGTTTTCTCCACCAAAGCTCATTCTGAAGCTCAGCTCCCCAAAGTAGCAGTGTTGAGGCAGGGGAGATTGGAGAGGTGATGAGGTCTTACAGTGGACTGATGTATGTAGCTACAAATCTAGTTCAGCTTCCTCGGCTGGCTTTCCTGCTTCCTATCCTCCTCTGCCATCATGTGACATTCTCTGTCACTTACAGAAGCCAGACATTGGTGCCAGGCAGCCTGGACTTTCCAGCCACCAGAATCATGGGCCAAAATAAGCCCTTTTAAAAAAAAGATAAAATCCAGCTTCAATCCAGTTACTTCCTTATATCAATACAAAACAGACTGACACCTAGTAAATAGCATAGCCTGGAACGGAAACTCAGCTCCTGCTCAGCTCCAGGAGTGTGATGGGGTCACAGTGGCAAAAGCTGGAAAGCTGACATTGATCCCCGTGCTCCCACTCAAGCATCATGTGGATTCAGTCAGTCAGGGCCAAGGCCAGAAGCACAGACTCACTGCAGGTTTGATTCCAAGATAAGCACTAACCACGAGGCTTCCATGTGACTCGGGGCTGAGCTCTCTTGTTACACAAGGACCAGCCAAGCATTAATCTTGTGACCAGGCCTGCTGCTGGTACCTGGCTCTTGGGGCCTTTCTCCAGTCTACTTTGTTAGAGAGGCTGCTCCTCTGTGCACTTTCTGAGCCACAGAATCCACTGTGGACACATGTATAACTTTATCACCCATCCAGACATCTACAGGACAGTTAAGGATTCAGCTCCCACTCTATGGCAGCCCTGTGCAGGCTCTGGGGATACAGGGTGGCCAAGAACTCTACGATCCTTCTTAGATGGACAAAAGCCATGCGTGCTGAGTGACACATATCACAAATGTCCTAGGTTCTATGAGAGGAAAGCAAGGGCACAGTGGCCATGGGAGACAGCTGAAGGACAGCACTGCATTCAGACCCTGGGCCTTAGCTGTGGAGATGGGCAGCATGGAGAGGCCAGAAGGGAGGCTTTCTGGACACAGGGAAGCAGAGGAGCAGAAAGAGGCCAGTCTGGCTGAGGTGGGGTTGGCAAGTAGGTGGACCATCATGGGGACTTTAGCTATTTCCAAAAGGCCACTGGTTATTTTCTGGATGTTGAAAGTGGATGAGAAAGGGTCAGGAGCAGAAGGAAGGTGCCCAGGCTGGGCGCAGCACATGCTGGTGACCCTAGTACTTGGGAGGCTGAGGCACGAGAGTCATCAGGAGTTTTAGGTCAGCCCAAGGTTATATGACAAGTTCAAGGCCAGCCTGAACTACACAGCAAAATCCTGTAGGAGGGTACTAAGGAAAGTCTGAATGTGGTCTGAAAGTGTTCCCCTGAGGTCTCGTGTGTTGAAATTTCACCCTCACTGTGAGATATAGAGGGGGTGAGGTGAGGACTTAACCCTAATGTGGTGCTCAGAGGTGCAGCCTTTGGGTGGTGAGCAGGGCTATGCAACCATCAGAGACGGGTCCCTAAAGCTAAATACTGATGGCTTTATAAGAACGAGAGGGACCAGAAGACACACACTCTGTTTCATGTCATATGATTTATTGTGTAACTGTGGGTGTCCCAGAAAGAAGGCTATCACCAGATGTGGGCCCTGGGCCCTTCAGACCCATAAACCCAAGTAAAGCCCTTTTCTTGATAAAATTACCAAGCTTCAAGGGTTTCATTATAATACCACAAACCAGACTGATGCAGAGGGTCATGCGAGGCTGCTTAACTTTTTTCTCTTGTACTTTTTATAAATGTGCCTCCATGGGGAGTCACATCTTCCACTACACACATGAAATGCGGTGCTATGGGGCAAGCCCCACCTTCTTACCTCGAAAACCTCTCTCTCCCAGTGATACCAGTCCTTCTGCAACCTGCAGCAAGGCCTGGAGCATGGGCTGCCCTTGGGAGAGACTTAAGTAACAACCAGAATGAATCCAACCACAAGAAAAATGTCTGGTGAGCACTGAGTTAATAGCTTAAAAATTGATTCTGCTAGCAAACAAATGGCGTCTTAAAAACTAGAGAATGAGCCCAAGTGAACTATTACATGCACTTCCATTTGAATGAGCCCTGGGAGGGTTCCATCTCTGTGTTTACCCAAGACTGAGACATCCCTCATACAGTGAGGCCATCAATTACTTCAGAAGAGTGGAACTTTTGCTTCCTATGGAGAACTTTTTAAAGATCGGCTGGATGATGTATTATCATTCTTGAAGGATGGATGACCAAGAAGGGATGTGGATGATGACAAACAGGTGGTCAGGAGATCAGAAAGCACCAGACTGAAGCTAGAGGAACAGCCAACCTCTGGGCCCATCTGTGGCACTTACATCACCATCCTCTGAAGGCCAGGACTCAGTGGGCACATGGGTCAAAGGCAAGGTCACCCATGAGACTACTACAAAGAGGTGCCATCTGTATCGGGTCACCACATGGTATAGGCACCATCATCCCATCCAAGCTTTGGAGATAAGTGCCGGGACCCTCATGCTATTAAAAGCCAAATGACCAAGTCCATGATATGAAACAGCACGGTGTCTTCATGGGACCTATGCCCATCACTCATCACACGTCCTCCCTCATCTGAAACCATCTGAGATAACCAAAGGACCTGGAACACTGTCAAAATGATGCCCACAGTTGTTGTATTGTGTTGTCCCAGGTAAAAGCCTGAGCACAGATATGATTTGCAGTTGGAGGAATTTGTGGGTGAGGAATCTGAAGATATGGAAAGCCCGCTGCACCCTCACTTTTCAAAACAGCGGAAATCATTAAGGAGATGTTAAGTCGCTAGAGCACAGGCTTACAGGTCGCACTAGTGCTGGCTTTCCATGAAGCCAGCCTCTACTATTGCTACCTTGGTGACCAGTAGAGGAGCACTCAGTCACAGCAATGATCAGAGAATGTACAGTAAACCAGGAAGGGAATAGGGTCCATCTACGCGTATCAGTTTGGCAGGTAGGAGAGGGAATGTAGCAAGTAAGTGATCTGCGTAGTCTGAGACAAGGAGCAGGGATGCCCTCTGCCTGCCAGCAGGTGCCACTTCCTCCAGTGAGGATTCCCTGAAGACTGGGGGCCTGGCAGCAAAGTCTGATGACCTGGCCTTGCTGGGCTGCTCACACCTGCTGTGAAACATAGCATAGCCCCCAAAGATGTTCAACACACAGGGGACTTGCTCGTTGGCAGCTGGTCAAAATCAGAGCACATTTCGGGCAGGCTGTCTCTGAATATCATACAACCGGGCCATCTATTCAAAATGTGAATGAGTGTGAGAATCATGGAGACAGCTTGATAAAATGTATATCCCCAGGCTACATCCTGAGAAGTTTCAATTCAACAGTTCAGAGTGGGCCTGGAAGCCACATTTGAATCCATGATCTGATGCAGTGTGAAGCCAGAGTCTTAAGTCAGAGCTATGGGCACCTGCGGGGCTAGGAAATAGCCCACAAGCTTACTGAGGGCAGTGAGCATGAGTAAGGTGTATGTGTTGTGTGTGTGTAGCGGGGTGGGGACGGAGAGAGACAGAGAGAGAGAGAGACAGAGAGACAGAGAGTGACCTGACACTATTAACCTGCGCTGAGACACTGGATAGGAAGCATCAGTGGCAGCCCAAGCTCCTGTAATTCAGGTGTCTCTCTGAGCCCTCGCACTTTCCTAGGGGCCAGGGATCGGCCTGACAGACCTGCGGTTCCTAACTCATGCTTTCCTTTGTCCCTTCATTCACTGAACAGAGGTGTCCTGCAGGCTAGCTGTGCCCCTCCTCAGTAGGCACAAAGGGAAGGAAACACACCTGCAAGGTACTTTCATCAGTCAGAGTTCCTGCGGGCAGAGTGACAGGAAGAAGGGCGGGACTCTGTGGAGCAGGTGTCTAAGAATGAGGCCTGAGAGG